TGAGCCTTCGTCTGCTGTCACTAGTGAAAGAAGAATATCTTTTTCTCAGTCCCAACCTGGATTCCCGTGGACTGAAATGTGCCTCTTCTCCCCATGGTCTCGTTATGGTTGGAGTTGCTGGGACTGTTCACCGAGGGAACTCTTGTTTGGGCATTTTTGAACAAATTTTTGGACTTATCCGCTGTCCTTTTGTGGAGAATACTTGGAAAATCAAATTTATCAACCTGAGAATTATTGGAGAGGGTTCCCTTGCTCCTGGAAAATTAATGGAACCAGCTATTACATTTGAACCAAGTGATCTAGAGGCCTTTCATAATGTAATCACTTTATGTGGTACCAGCGAAGTATACGGCTTGATGTAAGGCAGGCATTGGATAATGGAACTAGAGACCAAGCTGTATGCAGTGGAAATGAGGCAGTGTTGAACAAAAGAGAGCTGAGTTTACCTAACCCTCTAAAACACTGAGCACCGTATGCCAGTCTGAAAAACTCTGCCATGCAGAGCTCTTCCAAATACTGCATCAGTAACGTCTGAGTGATTGCAGATGAGTTGAAATGCCTTTCTTGGCTACACTGACGTGTGAATAGCTGCCTCTACCTGAGCGGCAGCACATGTTCTGAAAGCTTAACGCGGTTCATCAAATAAATCCCACTGTAGGCGTTAGAACTAACGGCGTGCCTTAGAGACCAGGTGATGTTTCATTTTATTTCATGAATATTCTGCCAATGTCTGTATTTTTCATATGGGAAAGAATTAATAGTGTTCAAGTCTTCCCCTTTTTAAATTTCTCATTTACTTTTATCTAAGTCTGGATAATTTTACAAATATGTCTCATGGCAGTATTGTTAAAAAAAAAAGGTACATATTTTAGAGATGTTAAATGTAAACTCATTTCTCATTTTAGAAACTTGAATGACGTTCTTATGCAAAAAGTTCAATAATTTAGCAGGTGGAGAAAAATATACTTTGCCTTTTTAAATCTTTGAAGGACATTTTTCAAAGTTATCTACTGTAATTCAAGCCAAAAATCTTATAATCTGTAACATTTCTGAACTGTTTTGGGCAATGATGAGTGCTCTTCTCAAGACAGGTCTCATTCATATCAAAGGCCTCAGCTCACAGTTCTGTAGAGCATTTGTTGTAATACCGTATGAAAGAAACATACTGCTGAAATCTTTAAGAAGGTGTCCCCAGATCCCAACTTTTGTATGTTACTGTCTTTCCTCTTGATTGGTCTTGGAAGAGGTGACCCAAAAAACCCCCACAAATTTATAATGTGGGCATAAACACCTATATAGATAGAGATATACTCCCACATCATAAATTAAAATTATTAGGATCCTTTTCACCTTTAGTTTGTTTTACTAGGTTTGAGTTACAAGGTTAAGTTCCCCGATTAATTACATAGTTGCTTTAAAGTTTAAATTCTTCATCACCTAGCAGCTGCTTGCTGATCTTGGATTTAGTTAGTAATTTTAATTTACAAAAATGCCATTTGGAAAAACATTCAACTGGGAGATGTCGAGATGGTGTTCTGTACATATTAATTTTTTCCTTTCACTCTACTCGTGATTATCTAGGGTGACTGACAAGAATTTGGAAACAGGAGAAAACTCATCTTTTTTGTTTTTTTAATGCCATGCCTCTTATGAGGACTACAAACTGGCATGTCCTTAAATAAGAACTTAATGAAGGAGGGAAATCCCTTTTGTCTGCTGTAAGAATAGTGTATTGTTTAGATTTAAAGCCAAGTTATCTTTTTCTTAAGTTTGAAGTGTCATTATAACATGTAATTGATAAATATCCTAAGTAAAGGATAAAATTAAAAACATTCCCATCTGTTTTCTTTGTGCTGCTGATGTCAAGTACTGCAGAAATCCTACTCAGGATGGGCAGGAAGTGCCTCTGGCTGTCTCGAGGATTAAGTTTTTGAATTTGTGTAATGTTCAAGTAAGGCTGCAGTCTCTGCATGCTGCTCCAATTGCCCCAAAAATTTGAAATTGGCCTGATAGGCTAAGTCTGTTAAGGATCCGAGCTATGTTTTATTTCCTTTGCGTCTCCACAGCTGGGCACACAGTAGGTCTGATGTTTAACTGAATGGGTGAATGAATGAGCAGAAGCAGCTTACATACTGTATAAAAGACTTTCCTGCGTCTAGATTTGGTCTTTGGTTCTTCTCATCAGTGGTGGTGTTTTGATCATATCGTCTGGTTGAATTTCATATGTGGATACATGGAAACCTTTAGGCCCAAAACTCAGTCAGATTTGGGGAAAATTTTAACTTTTCTTTAGAATTTACTGAATTTCAAAAGCCCGAGGTCACAATGGGATATACTAGCGCGCCCTAAGACTACCTGGAAACCATTATAGGGGAGGAATAGACTTCCCTGTTCAGAGAAGGAAGACCTAAAGGAATTGAAGTTTGTTCAGGAAGATTAAAGCTTGAGACGGTCTGGAAGCACGGTGCAGAATGAGCTCTTTACCGTGCCCACTGCTGTGTGTGTTAGGGCATGGCAGAGACCCCAGCTTTGTGTCCCTTTGCTTCATTACTCTTGGCTGGTATTTGGAAAGTCTGGAGTCAAGTAGTAAAGAATGCAACACTCTACACACAGTTTATGGTAATCTGGTAGACCATGGGGGCATTTGGACTTTATTACTCTAGGCTAATTTGTAGCCTCATAACGTTATACCGCGATTACCCTTTTTTGTTAAAATGAAAAAAATCTTAAAGTAATAGTTACATTGGGATGTTTTATTAAGAATGCCAAAAAGCATTTGATGTGTCTTATTAACTAAAATACCAAATAATAGGAAAAAAGCTATCTCTAATTTATTAAATCAACTTGCAAATTAAAAACATAGGAAAATGTTCCTGGGTTTTCAGAAAGGTAACATTTTTATGCTAAAGGAAGGCTAATTACCTAGGCCCAGGAAGAAATTGTAATAGTGCCAGACAAGGATTTAAGGAAAAGAAAAAGATAATCAGAAACATTGTGTTTCAACAAAATGGCTCTAATGGTGAAGTAGATCATAAAATGAGTGAAAACCATGCCTTAACGTTTTTCTTAGCGTCTGTTTTCACAAATTTAGATGCCTCTTTTTCACTGGTGGTTAATTTGGGTTGTGGGGGTAGTCATTGACCTTTTGAGAAATGAGAGCTCTATTCTCCCCAGAAAAAAAAGTTTGTGTGTAATAGTACAATTTTTGTATATTTCAGTGAATCCACAGTCTTCCCTAAAGCACATCTGCGAGTCCAGTGGGACTCCTCAGCTATGTTGACATCCTGCCGTCATACTTACATTTCCCCTAGCTTACTACTCTACTGTGTTAGAACGTTAAAAGTATTTTTGCAAAATTCTGTCCCCTTGGCAGAGTCCCTAAGCTGGAGGACTAAATCTTTCTTATGAATTAAAGGATAATCTAGGAAATCTGTTAGTTTATTGTGGTTGTTAACTTGTGAATTTTGTTTTGCAAAAGATATCCGATATTAAAACCTACAGCAGTACTGTCAAGTGAAACATAACAGTAGTAATTCAGAATTCATGTTATTTTGACAAGATAAATTTAATGAAGAACAGTGAACATGCGTTGGAGAAAATGATAAAAATGTGAAAAGAAAAAATATTTTAAAAAATATTCTCAAAACCATTACAAAAACTTTACCCTAAGAAGATGTTTATTTGGTAATGCTTGTAGATGACTAATTCTGATGAAGGATTTTAAAATATGAACATTTCCTCTGAAAGACCTGTGTGTGTGATGATCTCACTTTACACCGCTCCCTCTCACCGCCTCTCACCCTCAGCCCTGCTTGCGCCCTTTGTCTATAGCCAGCTGGACTGCAGGCAGCACAGCTACGGTGCTGGGAAACAGACTTCCCGGGTCTGGGTTCTCTTCACTTTTATTTGGCGTGTATTTATTGAGCATCTACAATTTGTAAGTCACTGAATCAAGCACAAGATGAAATAATAGATCAATAGGTTATTTACCTAAACTTCTTATGTTCAATTCAAGTCTCAGTCTCTGGGTTTAGATTTCTTAAAGTGAGAACTACTTTAGGCCCTTTGCAGAAGGATTCGGTTAGATCCTATTATATGGTCAGAAAAACGAACATTTAAGTGAAATTTTAAATAGCTTTATGGCTCTATCTAAGCCATAGAGATTTTATCAATACAGAATGCAGGATTTTTGACAGACCACTTTATTTAGAGTTGGGAGGAAACTATTGCAGAACTGTATCAGAGTGCACTAAATACTTTTAGCTTTATTTTTTCTAGTTTGGAACCTTTCCACTAGTCTTTCAGTAAAGCTTTAATAATAAAATTTAGTGTGATATTTACTGTGAGTTATAATGTATCCCAAAATATTAAACCAGAAATTCCAGAATTACTTGTATTAGTCATGAAATGTTATAAAGAATCACTGGCCTGGATTTGGTATCTCTTAATTTCTCCTCCCACCGGGACTGCCAGATCTCGTTGCCCTTTTTGGTGAGTCGCTTTTTAAGGGTTCTTTGGTTGGCAGCTTTCATCTTCACTTTTTAGATACCCTAAATCTCCAGTATGAAATTAGTTACATTTAAATTAATGAATTTAAGGATCGAAGAAATGCCTGCTGCCTGTTACCAGTTGTGTTAATTGTCTGATCTGATGTTTTCTGAACAAAAAATAAAACCAATAGCTACTCAGGAAAGCCTTTTTTCTTGAAGCATTTGGTTTCATACTTTGCATTAATCTTTTCCATCTCTCATCTTTTACTGTATTAATGGTTAGTATCACACTTAATTGTTCTCAAATTGGCACATGTAAGGTAAGGCACCTTTGCCTCGCTAAATAGATGGTAAATTCCTAGATCTGGTGATTCTTACTTATTTTGCAACCTTCTTTCCCCCAATGCCTTGCACAGGACAAATAATAGTTATTTATGGTTTGGATGCTTATGTTATGCCAGTTACTTTTCTGTGCACATTGTGTGTATTAACTCATTCAGTCCTGTGGACAGCTAAACGATGTAGTTACTATTATCCCTCTTTTACTGGAAAACAGGGTTGAGTAACTTCCCAAGCTTTCAGAGTTAAAGGGAGAGCCTCAATTTAAACCCAGGTTTTCCAGCCCGAGAGCCATGTGGTAACTAATACACTGTATTGCCTCATATGCAGTAGATTTTTGATGAATCCTTTTTGACTAATCATCTTCAGTATGAAGGTTGTCATTTCCAAAGGAAAGATGCCTTTAATCTATATTGTTTATCTATGTACAGAGTAGGAGTGTTGATGCATACCGTATCTTCTTGTAATTAAATCTCTTAAATTGCTTATTTAGTGATTTAAAACTGCTTGGAGAAAAGATACAGAATATTCATGTAGGACAGTATTACTTATGAAAAAGAAAAAAGGTAATTGGGTAATATATATGTAACAATTTATGTCAGATTTCTTGAGCTCGCTGTCTCCTCACAATCTCTAGTCCTCTTCCCTTTCTGTTTATGACACTGATGTGCCTGCAGCCTCAGAAGTAGGCTTTGTTTCACACCTTCACTTTCGTGCCGTGTCCAGATGTGGCATATCTGCAGTACTGTTTTTTTCTTTCAGCTGCTGCTGTAATTAGACCCTCTTTGCCTAAACCTTGACTTAGGCAATAATTTCTTCTTTCTTTGCTTTAGTATTTCTTACATATTTGTGACAGATTAAAATTTCCTTAAAGGACAACTTTCATCATATCCTCCAAGGTCAGAACTTTTAGTGATGTTCCGTTAACCTCCAAAATAAAGTCAAGATGTCATAATCTGCTTTTCGTCACCGTATGGGTTTGACTCCACTTATTTGCACACATTGTTTGGTCTAGCCAACATCTACTACTAAGTAGTCTGTGTATTTATCCTGTGCTTAGTTAGCCCTCTGCTTTTACTGGCAAGTATCCAAAATTGTAGAATTTAATTTTTTTGTTGTCGCAGACAGACTGATAGTATGTTTTAGAAAGGAAAGGACTATGATTGAAATGGAGCTTAAAAACTGGAAATTTTTTCAATAAGTCAAGCACTTTTTCTTTTCAAGAGTTTTGTATACATCGTCTAGAATATTGTTTCCTCAGCTTTTTGCATGGCTGCTTCATTTTCATCTTTGAGGATTTGCTTTAACTGTTTTCTCCTCTCTAAGTGGAGCTGCTTCTTAATGTTTATCAGAGCACCTTGTTTGTTTCAGTCCTAGCACTTTAGATATGACTGTTAATTTACTAATTTATTAATTTTGCCCCGCTGTATTTTAGCTGAGAGCAGGGACTAGAACTGTTTCACTTTCATTGTATTTCCGTTGCTTTCCACAGAGACTAGGGATTCAGTAGCTGTCTATTAAAGCTATAAATAAGGGAACAAATGCTGCTTTTTGTTCGAAGCGTCACATGTTCCTCCATATATCTGCTAAAGACAACGCCTAGTGTATGTATTAGGTGCTCAGTAAATCTTTGTTTAATGAATAAAGCAAAAGTTACCTTCCTGAATGGTGATTATGAGCTCTGATACAGTCAACAATGCTCTTTGGTAGATGGGATTACTAAAGTTTTATTAAACTGAAGCCCCAAAAGCTAAGTAATGTGCTGAAGTTCACATAGTTTTGTTGTAGACATTTTTTTCCTCTGGCATTTTTTTTTTTGGTTGTATTTCCTTTTTAAGCCACAAAGCCTGTTTTTCTTGCACTTTATTTCCAGTCTGACTGCTGCTGCTACCTTATTTTGAAGAAGTTTAAACTCTTAATCCTCAATTTCTTCACATATAAAACTGAACCAGTTAGATTAGATGATTTCTAAGGTCTGCTGTGATTTCGAACTTACATGGTTTTGTGATTGTCTTCTTAGCAAATCAAGAATTTTTTTTTTGGTGAGGAAGATTGACTCTGAGCTAACATCTGTTGCCAGTCTTCCTCTTTTTGCTTGAGGAAGACTGTCGCTGAGCTAACATCTGTGCCCATCTTCCTCTCCTTTATGTGGGACGCTGCCACAGTGTGGCTTGATGAGCGGTGCTTGGTCCGTGCCCGGGAACTGAACCTGTAAACCCCTGGCTGCTGAAGCAGAGCACACGAACCTAACTGCTACGCCCCTGGGCCAGCTACTCAAGAATATTTTTTAAAGTAATTTGTAGTTCATTCAGGAAGTTATTATTTTGCTTCTTCATAAATCATGCTCATTGAAAACACTTCATTCTTTGTTTTTTTCAAACAAATACACATTTTTAAGTATTTGTGTTTAGTGTGTGTATTTCTGCTTACAGAGGGAAAAAAAAAACAGAAAAGAATGAAAATATTAACACATCATATCTAGACTAGAAAAGAAAAGTATGAAGCCTTTAAAATATTTTCCTATTTTTTGACCACTAAAAATTCTGAAGTTGTTTGAAGCTACTGTTCTATTAAAGTTTTTTGCTTTGTTGCATATGTTCAAAATATGTTTACATGTTTTAGTCAAGAAAAGTGGAAAGTGGTTGATGGAAGGCCAAATTGTAGACTGCTAGTAATCCCCAGTAAAAATAAAGATGTTAATAAAATCAATTATAGGTAATTCCTTCAAAGAAACTGAGCAATAGGAGTTGACAAATATTTAGGAATGAAATTGGAGACATGGCAAATTCGGGATGGCATTTTTCTGTAGGAAGCATGGCCTTGGATGGGTGCTACTCATGAGGTCATTGAAAGTTATTCCAGGAAGTTTAATGGAAAATATTGGTTTAACAAAGACAGGTGGTTTTGCTGTACTGACTGCACTGATTGGAGAAGTACAGCATCTTGATAAAACGAGCTTTGAGTGCAGAAACAAGGTAACAGTGGAAAATTGAAGCATCTCAGGGACTTTAGTGGGGGAACTAGTAATAGAACAATCGTAAAACCATTGAACAACAATAGACTCCTAGACAGCAAGACAAATCTCAGAGAAAGCCGTAATTTTAATTCTGAGAGCAACCTTATGCTAGAACAAGACTTCAGGACTGAGAAAAAAGTGGATTTTAAATAGTGTATCTGTGTTTTCTCTTAAATGTCTTCTTTCAATTTGGTAAACATTTCTTGACTGCTTACTACGTACCAGGTGTTTTAATGGACAACACTTGCTACCTAAAGTAGCTTGTACTTTCTTATTACTATTTTCACTTTAACTTGTATAAAATAATATTTCCTGTTTAATAAAGGGTTTATTTTGTTGGAAAGTGCTTCTCTGTGACTCTCATTGATGCCCTTCTTACTGCTTGAACCATTGTCATCTTTTGGCACTTGATCTGAGCTGTAGGTAAAATCCTGGCTTTTGCATTTGAGCAAGGTCACTCAAAGAATGGCGAATTTGGTAGTTTTGCAGTTCCAGAGGGGAAAAAAACACACTGAAACATTTTTTCCTTATATATTTTGCAAATTTCATGCACATTGTTCACATATTTTGTAGATTTTAAATGTAAGATAGGGTTTTCATTAAAATCTCAACTTTTTAACAGTGTTATGTCCTTAAGGTACAGTCATTAGGTGCATATGTACACGACAAGGACTGTGTTGGTCAGTTTACCTCAGCGAACATGAAGTCAACAGGGTGTTTGTCTTCACTAATGTACTTTCCTATTAATTTTGATGTTTGTTAAATTTTCATTTTACAGTTGCTACTCTTATTCCTAGTTCACAAAAATGGCTTATTGAAAAATGGTGAGAGTAGTAACAAATACCACCATCATAAAAACGCCATAATGTAAATAGTAGACAGAACTTTAGTGTGAATACAGAATTAGAATCTGTGTGTGCTGTGCAAGAGATTCTGTGAGTGTGATGTTTTCAAAACATCAGTTGAACCATATAAGGAAGGACAATGATGAATATCTGGACTGTTTTTCTGGCCTGCGATCCATTCATCCCTGATCAGTACTAGCAATGGCCTGTCAAATATTTGTATGTCACCATCAGTTTTCACATCATTTTAAAAGCACATTGATATGTCTGGTAAATGAATTTAGTTAGGTAATTTTATTTTTCCTGAACAAGTGTAAAATGATACATCTCAGTTTAAAATTTGTCATCAAGATGGAAAAGAGTCCAAAAATATAGAAGCATCATCTAGAGTTGCATTCCTTAAAGCAAACCAAGTATGAGCCGTTGTTCCCAGCTTCTGTCCCAAGCACCTGGGACGCACACAGCCCACTCAGCCCTGGGATGCATGAAGCCACCTGTCAAGATCAATCACTGGTGCCCAGCCTTAGAGCAATCACTTGGACACTAAGGCACGTTTTTGCATTTCTTGTCTTAGTGATTATGTCTATTTGTCCTTTATGTTTTCTGTGTCGTTTCATCATTTGGAATCCTCTGAACTAATGTACACTAGCCTGTGACAACCATGAAGCAAACTTGTAGATTGTTCAAATATCAAATCTGTTACAAAGTAATAAAAAAAGACACTTGCTGAGAAGCTTGTGAAAACACTCTCAACATTAATAACAAATGTCAGAACAAAACAAGCTGTTAGACAAGTTCTATCAAAAAAGTTGTATAATTCGGTGACAACATGGAAGAGCAATTCCTATCGTATTTCCTAGAGGATATTTTGCAAACAGAACCACTGATACGCAGTGTCAAATCATTTGGCATACGTGTGTATATGAGTATGTATGTGTGTGTATATAAGTGAGAAGTCTTTAACTTCCTATTCTATTCATCCCTGGAAATCCATGAATGTAGAAAACAAAATGACACTGGAAAGTAGGTTTTTGGTGAGGACTAGAAAGAATGCATCACAATCTTTCACAATGGAACACCAGCTGACTGGGCGGCAGTGAAGGTGGTTGTTAGGTAAATAAAAGGGTTATACAAAAAGCCAATCGACTCATCCCCTCCTTAAAAGAGAGCAACTAATTATCAATGGTAAACTGTCAAGATGTTGGTTCAGTGTTGAAGGGAATAGGAAATACCATCAAATGTTATCACTTGGGTCTACATCATTTTTATACTGCTGTATGAAAAACTGGGCAGGAAGTTAGAAAACTTCCTCCGATATTGCCTGTTCAAAGGAAAGGTGTTCGCTTGACGTTTTGAGATAAGAGCAAAGACTAAAAACATTTCTCTGGGATATTGTTAATGCCAGTGAATGGCGTTTCCTTGATTTTAGATGCCTTGCCTTTATTCTGTCTCAAAGAGACATCTCTACAGGTCCATAAAGTGAATTGTAATGGCAAGGAAATAAGATTACGATTACACAACCTTTGTGCAAATGGCTCCATTCTCCAGAGCTTCATCCCCTGCCATTCCCCCATCCCGTTCTCTTGGCTTACTGCAGAAGCGTGATATATTTGGGGGTTTATTTAAAACCACATCCAAATACAGCAACCTAAAATGAAAGAATACTTTCCTGAGCTGAGTGCAAAGGACAGATCGGGAGCCCATTTAACACCATCTGCAGGTGGAATTTTCTTTTGGTGACTCTAGGTGAGAAGATTATTGTGGGAGAACATATATAACTCAAAAAAGAATTTTATACATAGATCAATAAGAAAATAAGTTTTGTAAATCACATGCTTGTTCTTAGAATTCTGGAACAGTGACAAGCTTCCTCTTTCTATAGGAATGTAATAATGTAGAACAGAATTGTGGGGGAAAATGAAACTACTTATATCTCATTCTTGTAGAGGTTCAACAAATTGTACACTAAAAGCTTATGACGATCTGACTTTATATATTGTTCTTTTTTTAAAAAAAAGAGAAAAAGAAAAAGCAGTAGTCACCTTTTCACACAAGCAATTTAACTGAAATCTGCATTTTTTAGCAACCATTCAATGCCCTTGTTTTCGTCCTTTCATGACTCCGGGATTCTGGCAATTTGTCAGAGATCATTTCACTATCTCCTTTTACTTTACATCCAAATAAGATTCAATTGAAACATTTTCAGTACTTCATTGAAAAAACTTAAAAAAAAATTTCTTTTCACATTCTATGAATTAGAATCACTGACATTTTCAGAATGACTTGTCATTTCTCTGTAGACAGTTTTTCTTGTGGAAGTATGTCTAACAGTGACATGTTTTACACAATATATTGGAGGGAGGGGAGATTCTCATCAGGTGATTTTTGTATTTTTTATTTCCTATCTCAAATAAAGCTTTTATTTATTATCATATTTGGTAAGTGGGTAGATATGTCATAGCTCTATACTTGTATTCAGATGGCTTGCTGTGATGTTTTTCTTCATTTTATAGGTTAGTCTCTGTAAGGCTGGCACTTCTGAAGCTCTTGGATTTGCCCATTAGGGAAAGTCCCAAGAGTTGTACACATGTGCCTTTAAAATACTTCTGGTTCCAATTGCTGGACTTTGCCTAGTGAGTTTAACTTGTAATAAATGTAGCATGCCAATAGACAAGCTGTCAAGATACGTAAAGTACAGTGAGTATTCTACATATAGGCCACTCTTCAATAACTAAGCAATAGCGAAGTTTTCCAAGACTAGTGAACTTGAATTATAAAAAGTTTTAGGGGCTGCATAGAACTATGTAGATGAAAAACAACTACATTAAATTTTCTAAGGTAAATTTGCTTGAATGGATAGGTTTATTTTTATCCACAAAATTTATTAATTTTCTGAGGATTTTAATTAAATTTTTATTTTCACAAGTTATTCCATTTTAAAATACTTACTTTAAATTACTAAGTTTTAATTCCACTTAAACATATTGGATTATATTTTGCTAGAAACAAACTGTAAAGGCCCAGATAGCATGAGATAGTACGGCAAAACTACCTTGTCTTCCTTCATCATCCTCTCTTTCCACATCACATTTTTTTCCTTTTAAAATTAAGAAGGAATCAAGCAGACTTTATCATCCTCTTGTTTAGAACCCAAATGCCCCTGGTGATTATTTTGAAGGAAAGAAGCTTGCAATAGCATCTTAAAGTAGAATTTGGAATTCTAGTGACATCTTGTGGCCAATCTGAGTGTTCTGTGTCTATGTCATAGAGTTGGCTTCGTACTAGTGGACTTCCAACCAGAAAACACGTACTTCTGAGAGTACCCAAAGACTGAGAATTTAAGCTGGTGTAAAGAATTTTAAGGGAATCCATTTCCTTGTCCTCAGTCTCCTGCCGTCTCCCTACATGAACTTGACCATACCGGTGGTCTAGGCACTATACCATCTCCTTTTTTTTTTTTTTCTTTTTTTTATTTTAAAGAATTTATTTTTTTCCTTTTTCTCCCCAAAGCCCCCGGGTACACAGTTGTATATTCTTCGTTGTGGGTCCTTCTAGTTGTGGCATGTGGGACGCTGCCTCAGTGTGGTTTGATGAGCAGTGCCATGTCTGCGCCCAGGATTCGAACCAACGAAACACTGGGCCGCCTGCAGCGGAGCGCGCGAACTTAACCACTCAGCCATGGGGCCAGCCCCTATACCAGCTCCTTTTTATTCAACCTTCCTTTTACAGTTGCCGTTCTCCCACTTTACAGAAGAAAGACCTCCTTCTCTCCCACCCTGAGCATGGTGCGTGCATCGTGCATTGCTGTGTATCAAAACCTCTGTGTGCTAAACACAGAGAACTTTGCATTATTGGTGTTGGTGAGAAGGGGAATCACTACGACACTTCAACAAAAGCTTGCAAGTCAGGTGGCTGCTAAACTTTCTTTAAAATTATTTGGTTTCAACAAAATTAAAGAAAAACCAAATTAAGTTTTCATCTGATAGATCATTCACCAAAAATATATCTTGGCAATAAATCACTATCTGATTTTTCCCTTTTGATGTAAAATTTACCTACACTAAAGTGTACAAATCTTACTTAGGAATATGTTCAAAATATTGGGTGATATTATAGTTTTAGTCTTCCCTACTTATTAATGTAAGCATGACTCCTCTTGTTTATATAAAAAAAGAAATAGAAGTGATGATGAGCTCTGACTTATACAAGCAATAAACCCATCTCATTAAATTATGGGTTCCCAGTAAAATATGTGAACTAGTTATGTTGTTTTAATCAATTATATAATACTAAAAATTGTAGTAATTCAATCTGGAAGAAATATTTAGCACTTAAAACGTTATAGGGAGATTATGATATTTTTCTTACATGGAAGTGTACAGTGATCAATAAGTCTTTTGAGCACAAAATACATCACATTAGGATAAAATTCCGTGGGTCAACTGGAATAGAAGTACAAATTAAAAGCGTACAAGTAAAATTTCTAACTGTAAAGAGGAGCTTGTTTGTAAACATCTAAATAGATATTGAGGTGTATAGAATTCAATGAAACTGGATACATTTTAAAGAGTTATTTAACATTTACTTTTAAAAATGGAAATTACTCCTTTTCAACTATATAATAATATAAAGAAATATTTGAGATGTTGACTCAGAATTTGTGAGGAGATAAAGTTTGCTAACATTCTTTTGGGGGATATGCAAGACACAAGTTTGCAGAGCAAGACTTGCTGTTACGTAACTTGGCCGCAGGCCACTGACTCCGATGTTTGGGAGGAAAACTTTCACTTGTCTTTTAGATATATGGTAATATTTTCTGAAACTAAAATTAGGACAAAGTCTGAGTACTCTATAGGATATTTCACATTAAAACAATATTGCTAGATCTAGGACGCTGTGGTCATTATATCATAAGCTAGAAATCAAAACAAGAAAAATTTCCAGGAGGATTTTTTTTTTCTTCTTTTGATTAGGATTGAAATGTCCTGTATTTGTCTGATTGTAAGATTCCATTGATTGTAAGCTGCACTGTTGGTTCAATTACCTTTTGGTGCTAAAAGTTAGCATCATGCTCAATGGATATATAGAGTAAAAAAAAAAAAAAAATCCTGTGTCAGAAATGTTAAAATACAACTGTGTGGGGGGCTAGCCCTGTGGCCTACTAGTTAAGTTCTCATGCTCTGCTTTGGCAGCCCACAGTTTTGCCAGTTCGGATCCTGGGCACAGACTTAGTGCCACTCATCAAGTCATGCTGAGGTGGCATCCCACACAGCAGACCAGAGGGACCTACAATTACTATATACAACTATATACTGGGGGGCTTCGAGGAGAAGAAGAAAAAAAAAAGATTGGCAACAGATGTTAGCTCAGGTGCCAATCTTTAAAAAAAAAAAAAGACTGTGGGCATAATGAGGTGTCTTAAGATTAAAGAAGTAAGCTGCATATACACAGCAGCTTTCTAAATAGCAGGTTCTTAATCTTTCCTTTTATGTGGCAAGGTTAACTGATGACTAAAATTCGTCAAAGTTATTTTCGCTAGCGATAGGAAAGAACAAACTCTGAGTTTCTGTTATTGGCATGACATCATACTGGGCATTTGGGTTACAAAGACGTATGAATATGATCAATTTTTTTATATAGACAGAAGAAAATTTACTAAGGAGGAAACAGCACAATTGGTGCTAACAATTTGGAAGCATTCACAGAATAGATTGTAGTTTGTAGGGACTGGCCCAGTAATGTAGCAGTTAAGTTCGAGCGCTCAGCTTTGGCATCCTGGGGTTCACAGGTTCGGATCTGGGTGCGAACCTACACACAGCTCATCAAGTCATGCTCTGGCAGCATCCCTCATACAAAATAGAGGAAGATTGGCACAGATGTTAGCTCAGATGCTAATCTTTCTCACCAAAAAGGAAGGAAGGAAGGCAGAAAGGAAGGAAGGAAGGAAGAAAGGGGAGCGTTATAAAGATCATAAACATTCTTTAAAAAAAGAAAAGCATAGATTGAACTGTAGACAAGGAGCAGGATTTAAATCTGTGTAGAACAGAGGCTGGCTAACTATGGCCCAAGAACCAAAGACCACCCAACATCTGTTTTTGTATAAAACCTTAAGCCAAGAATGGTTTTAATGTTTTTTAATGGTTTTAAAAAATTGAAAATATTATTTGGTAACACATGAAGATTATGCAAAATTCAAGTATTGGAATACATCTATGCTCGTTCATTTGTTGTTGGGCTGGTTTGCTCTACAAGGCAGAGTTGAGTAGTTGTGACTGAGCTCATATGGCTTGCAAAGCCTAAAATATTTGTTATCTGATCTTTAACACAAAAAGTTTGCTTATCTCTGATGTAGAGAAGCAACTTTACAGACAGAGCTGGTGACGCCCACAAATGCCCAGTGGTGGGAGTGCAGTGTGATGAAGGACAGGTAATAGAAGAAGTCGGTAGAGGTGGCTTGGGCCACCTTGAGAGACCTTACATTAGGCATTGAGATACCACAGCAGTCTTCTGAGCCAGGGAGTAATGGTCATAGTGCTCTTTAGAACAATTAATTTGGGAGTAGTATGTAAAATAGATTAGAATGCAATATTAACAACTGGGTTAGAGAAACAAGTTAGACAATTACAGCAATGGTATAAATATGAGGCAGCGTGTATCTGAAGCTCAGTGGCAGTTTAGGAATGAAAGGAAAAGAACTCATAGAAAACATTACCTCTAATATTTATTATTAATAATTAATAACAATATGACTTTAAAGATCTTTTAATCTTAATTTTACCCCAGGCTTAGTAAACATGATTTGACCCAAGCCTGTTATACAAAACCATGTAAGTAATAAGACTCTACTCCAAATGTGAAATTAACTAACCAATCACAGAATCCCCTCTTGGATGCAGTGTTGTTAACTTACTCAACTGTTAGTTCATTTATTCACTAAGAGTTTATTCTGTGCTTCTATGTTCTAAGCACCCTTCCTGGTGGCCAATAAAAGAGCAGTGAACAGAAGAGACAAAGACTTTTCTCTCCTCATGGAACTTACATTCTAGTAGGGAAAGAAAAGAAGGAAACGTACGATATAATACAGGCAAATGATGATGGTAAGTGCTACTGGGGGAAAACAGGCAAGAGGGCTAAGTTGTGAAGGGGGTATTTTTTATATAGCACAGTGAGGGAAAACTTCCCTGAGGAGGCACCATTTAAACAGAGTTGAATGCAGAGCAGGAGTAAATCATGTGACTGTCCAGGTAGAGGGAAGAGCAAGTACAACAGCTTTGAGTGGGAGCGTGGTCACCAGGTTTGAGGGACGTCAAGGAGACCAATGTGGCCACAATGAATCAGTGAGCAAGAAGCAGAGTAATGAAAATGAGAAGTAGCAAAGGGGCACAAAGCCAGAGCCTTCTAGGTCATCATAAGAGCTTTGGATTACACCCAAATAAAATGTGAAGCCATTGGAGGATTTTGAGCAGAGAAGTGGTATAATCTGATTTTTTAAAAGGACCCTTGAGATGAGAATGAGTAAGGGCAAGGGTGTGTGGAAGCAGTAGGACCAGCTAGGAAGCTATTTGTAGTAAACCAGGTGAGAGATGATGGTGGCTTAGACCAGGGCAGTAGCAGAAGAGCTTGTGAGAACCAGTCAGACTCAAGATAATTGTTTGAAGGGAGAGCTGATAGAATTTCCTGATGGCAAGACAAAGAAATGAGACAGCAGTGACTCCAAAGTTTCTGGCCCAAGCCCCTTGAAGGATGGAGTTGCAATTAACTAAGATGGAGGAAGCAGCGGAGGAACAGCCTTGGGGTAGGAGTGACGTGGAAAGAGACCAGGAGTTTGTTTTTGAATATGCTAATTTGATATGCTTATTAGATATCCAAGTGGAGATATCAGATTTGCCATTGATGATGAAATAATGACATCTCTTGAGTTTCTCAAGGAGTGTCTGGAAACTGCCAAGGAGGCCTAAAGCGTGTGTTTGGAGAACAGATTCCAACCAAAGGTAGAAATTCAGAAATCATTATCTTTATGCTATTTAGTGCCCCAAGAATGGCTGAGACCATCAAGGTAAGAATTTAGGTACTGAAGAAGTCTGAGGACTGAGTTTTGGGTTTCTCCAGTGTTAAGAGGTCAGGGAAATGAGGAGTCAGTAAGAGAAATAGAAAAATGGTAGCCAGTT